ATGTTGTGATAGCACGCCAAAAATGGAAATACGAATTGGCGTGTCATACACACGTTACTTCATGAGATCAGTCTGAAAGACTTGTAAAAAAGCAGAATAGATGCTCTTCAAGCAAAACAGCAGTTTCTTGTTCACAGCCTTTGCTGTGGTAAATCATTGCTGAAGTGTCTGCAGTATATTGTGCATATATGCAATGATCCTTTAGGTCAGAGGTGCACAGTCTTGCTTCTGGAGATCTACACCTTCCCATAAAGCCTTCAGTGAGGTCAGGTAAAAGCATTAAACCCTTCTCCTTTATCAATTTAAGGTCATAAACGATCGACAGACAGATTTTACACGCATATAAACTCCTTTACCAGCGTTCTTTCGTCTTATTGAAGTGCACATTGAAGTGTGTGATAGGTGACAGTAAAGCGTCCTTAACCGCATCCAACCGGAGCAAAAAAGAAAAAGAAAACGAGGAGCAAATATACTGTATTGCTGCAGAGATATGGTAAAGGCATGAGAGGAAAATGTGAGTCTCTACAAGTTTCTCGCTGACATTTGGCAAAACTGGGGGTTTAATGCTTTGTTTGCCGTTGCGAGCTGCAGGGATGCACTGTAGAAATGAATATGCTTTATCTAATCAAAAAATTGTGGCAACAGATTACAAGCAATATTATTAATTGCATTTAACAAATTAAATTGAGTAATAATTAATCAAATCAATTCCTTAAAAGCTGACCATTTAAAATGAGTAAAACTTACAACAACCCAAAAAAATAAATTTAAGTCATTATTATGGTGATCGGTGTTTGTTTTAGGTTTGTTTTAAAATTACGGTTTTCTCCTTCAGTGATTCTGCTCGTTAACATCAGGTGTCTTCAATGTCGGCAATATAAAATAAAGAGTTCAATAAAGAGTTAATCTTTAAAGTAAAGAGTTAATCTTTGACGCCTGTCTGTTAGTGAGATATTTTTGTTAATTTTTTTTTTTTTGGTGTAAACTTTACTCGTTTTAAATGAATAATTTGATTAATTATAACTTAATTCTAATTTGTTAAATTTAATTAAGGATGTTGTTTGTAATCTGTTGCCACAATTCTATTGATTAGATAAAGCATATTCATTTTTACAGTGTGATGCATTTCTGTGGACTAAACGCCAGAAACTAGTTGCATTTTAGCGCTTCCAGTTCCATCGCTTCAAAGTTGTTTTGGTTAAATAGCTGAAATAATGTCTGTTATGAACACAAGCTCAAGGGATTTTCATGTTTTATTCTACATAAAATAGATTAGTAATGCCCTCTTGTGATTTTTTTTTAGCAATTTGTTAAAGGCAGTTGTTTAAAAAAAAAGTGTCTAAATGGGACTACAGAGGTTGTAAACGTCATCATCCAAACACACTCGGATCTTTCACAGGTGTGGGTTTCTTTTATTTAGATATGGATTTAGACATTCTACAAGAATACTTTTTGATATTTTTAGATATTTTTGTATAGTAAGTAGGTTTTGCATTATGATTACAATTAAACAATAACGCAATTTGGTTAGAAAGGGAACACAGTGCAAGCATTTTTGCCACTCAGTATTTGATCATTAAAAAATATAATAAAATAAGTAAAATAGTGATGATTTAAAACACTTTATACGGACATTTTTCAACTAATTGGTATTTTAGTCAGTATAATTCTGTAAATGGTAATACATCTTCAGAAGGGAACAGCAATTATGATCTAACAGCAAAAACGTAATAAAATAACTAACAGTAAATTATCATTATCAAACTGTAGGTTAAAAAAGAGGAATAAAAAAATGTTTTTTAACTATATACATACAAACTAATTATTTTATGTATTTTGCATATGCCACAGATATCAGGAACACCTATTATAGTAAAATAAGAGCAAACACAATAATTATTTGTGTGTGTGTTTGGAAAAGACAATGTTTCCTGTACCCTTTGAACTCTAGTAATCCATAACAATGCCCTGTGCTTTGTATTAATCAGTTGGATTATTAAAAAAAAAAGATTCCAAATGAAATTGACTTGTAATGTAAAGTATATAAAATGTGTATTTGAGCGAGAGGGTCTCTTAAGTATTTTTTTTCTTTTCATTTATTGACTTTATTTAGTGTGTTTTCAAGCTGTTGCACACTGTAAAAAATAAACCGTAAATTTTACGGTAAAAAAACGGCAGCTGTGGTTGCCAGAACTTTACCGTTAAAAATACGGTAGGAACGTTAATGGGTTTACAGACTTAAATTAAAATTTACAGTAATAAACCGTAATTTATTCTCTGATAAAATGTGGATTTACCAACTTATTGATGTATTGATATCTGTTTTAGACCATTGTAATACACTGACAACCAACAATCATCACAGCAGTGATGAGAGTTACATGAGCAATCACAGCTCATCATAAGTGAATACTTGTATAAAGCAATACTTGATTAAAGAAGCTGCACAATGTCATTCACACAAACATTAAGCACCATCATGGTAACACACATGAAATTAAAAAAATGCAATAAAAACAATAAAACTATGAGGAACCATAGTTATTTCAACAAAAATACATAAAATGTGAAGTGTCACAGGAAATTGTGGGAATGTCAATTTGCGTTTTTTCACTGTAAATTATACAATGATTTGTTCTTGTTCACTTTCAAAAACTGTAAATTTAACGGTATTTTACTGTAAAATTATATCACAGTTATTTACCGTGTATAGTACGGAAACTTTCTGTTTACCAATTAACAGTTTTGCACTGTAGCATTTTTACAGTATTTTACCGTTAAAATCACGGTTATTTTTTACAGTGCAGTCTTACTAGTTTATTTCTGTGTGTGTGTGTGTGTACACATTGCTAATACAACAAAAGTCCCCAAGTGTCATCCCATTCCTTAGACCGAAGAGGACCAGAGAGAGACATTCACTTATTAACAACGGGGGGACTTTAAATCTCGATGAAGGCGGGTCTCCAGAAATGGGACAGGAAACCATTGATTTAGTGGGTTTAAATATGGTGTTCACTCCCGAAACTCGGTCAATTGTGTGTGTAGCCACAGGTGAACTTAGCAGATATGTAATTGCATTTCCTCTGTGTGGAGGCAGTTTCCCTGTGTTTCTAAGATAAGGGTATAGGTCCCTCAGGGGGGGGCGATTAGGAACAGGAAGAGGAAATGCTGAGGATGAGGCATGACTTCAGGCTGAAGTGTGAGCAGAACACAGGAGATAAACGCTGCACTCTCTCGGACTAATCTAACATCTGCTCTCACGACACACATCCTGAGGTCTGGACACATTAGAGGAGAAAAGCATGACATGAGGTGCGCTGCCGCTTTCACAGCCCACAGTGGAAGGTTCCTGCACTGAACTTTCTGAAGCTGGTCTCTTTACGTGTGTTTTTTTTTAATTTTTTTACTTCATCAGAACGGTACGAAACTTGGTCAAAGTTTTGGCACTCTCTATGTGAACACACACACACAAAAATATAAATAGTCCAGAAAAAAAATAAAATAATCACAGTTGCGCTCCTCGTGGGAAACAATTACGGCATTAGAAATGAATGGGAGACGAATTTCATCTAGTGGAGACGTGTGGTACTGCGGCCAAAACTAAATCTGACTGAAAGCATATTTTTTGAGATATCAACCTCAAATTTGGAACAATTTTGGAGTAAAAGGTGTTTTTTTTAAAAATAAATATTAATTTATATAAAAAAATTGCAAAAGTATTTATGTGCATTTTTCATAAGTTCTCAAACTTTAACTTATTATTATTATTTTTTTCACTTCAGCAATAAAAGTGAAAAGTGATCAAGCTGTTCTCTGCAGCATTCAAGATTTACGACAGTTTAAGTTTACATTTTCAGGTATACGCTCAAAAAGTGAATCAAAGGATTATAAATAATTAAGTACCTAAAAATGCAAAATATTGAATAAAAAACATAGTACATTCGTGTCATTCAAAAAAGTTTGACCCACACGCAAGGGTTAAAACGCCAATGAATTTTTATTATGTTATTATTATTTTTTTGTTGCATAATTAATTTTTATTTTCATTGACCTCAGTTTTGAAACCCCTCTATTCAGACCCGAGTAATCTCACACGTCACCGCTAGAAAAGATCTCAGCAATGTCTCAAACTCAAATTTGCCAAGACATCAAGTCACATTACTTTGTACTCTTGTTCCGCATGTACATACTATGTACTTATTATAGTAATTATAACTGTAATAAGTAGGCACTAACCCTGTACCTACCCCTAAACCCAACTTTAACCCTTGTAGTTACCTTAAATTACCAGTAAGCACTTGGATGCCCTTGAGGTAAGCTAAAACATACCAAACATTCATTTCAAAGTGAACTATCCCTTTAAGATCTGATTATGTGTAACTTTTCCAGGGCACTTGTGAGCATGGCGGTCAGGGACAGCTTGTTCATCTGACTCGCGTAGACAGTTTGTGCTGTTCACCGGCAAATCTTGGAGTTTTTCAAGCTTTCTTGCTTACGTTGCTTGAGTTTGTTTTGCTTAATATCGTAGCTGACGCTAACAACGTCCAAGCTGAGTCACAGTGTTTGCCGAAGCACATGCCGAAGTTTAGCACAGTTAAGAGAAAGATAATGTAATATCTGATTGTGTGTCAGTGTACTGAACAGTGTGGTATGTTCTTCATTCGCAAAAAAAAAATCTAACTAGGTCAGCTGTAATTCTTTACCTACATTTGATACTTTCATTGGCCTAAAATTATCCAGCATTAAACGGCATAAGATCTGATTTCATGTCCTATTGGAAAGGAAAACATCTCGATTGTCCCTCATAGATCATGTCTCACATGTCTCCTGTAAAGTTTCAGAAGAAATCTCCACAATGTTTTAAACTGTGCCCAGAGATTTCCCATTCAATTGTACCAAGACTAAACTCTATGATCTGCATTCATTCATTTCCATTCATTTCTTGAGCTGAGGCGCTTAATGAAAGTACGAAAGCTTGGATGAATGGCGTTTTTCCTCACCATGTCAGTACGAGATTCCTGATAAACCCTCATTTTGCAGCAGAGAGGAACCTTCCGGTACAGGATCAACAGCAGCACCACGATCATGAAGAAGAACACCAGACAGCAGACTGGAGAAAGACCACACACACACACACACACACACACACACACACACACACAACACGTCAAACGCCTGAGCGTTCGGGAACACCGAGGCTGCTTTTTCTGGTTTAAAACTCATCCATTAAAATGTACATTTTTAGATTCGTAAAGATTAAAGATGGGCACAATTTAAGCAATTTAAAACATGCAAGCATAACGCATGAGTCTTTACAATCTTGGCAAACATAATTTCAGCATAATAAAGTGTTTTAAGGACTCATGTTATATATATTTGTGTGTGTGTGTTAGCGTATATATATATATATATATATATATATATATATATACATATACATAAATATATATATATATATATATATATATATATACGGTATATGTTATACATATACATACATATACATACATATAGGCCTATATATATATTTCAATTAATTGAGATTAATTCTATCTAACTGTAAATATATCTGTATATGTGTGTGTTTGTATATATATATATAAATATATATATACATATACATAACTATATATACTGTATATATATATATATATATATATATATATATATATATGTTAATACATACATATACATACATATAGGCCTATATATATATATATATACATACAAACACACACATATACAGATATATTTACAGTTAGATAGAATTAATCTCAATTAATTGAAATGACAGCACTAATATATATATATATATATATATATATATATATATATATATATATATATATATATATATATATATACACTTCTATTGTCTTTGAAATATGGTTAAAGTAAGCTGCAGGATGACGAGCCGAAATATTATTTAAAGTAATTTCTGCAGAAAGATGTATTTAATGTATTTAAATATATTTTTAATTACACGTTTGTAATGAAAGTTGCAATTTAGTACATTTAAAATAAATGTACTAACTAATTACTAAGTAATTAATTAATTTTCCTTATTTGAATAATTTTATTACAGTTTATTTAATTGCATTAAATACTGTATATAGTTCAATTGTATATAAAAAAACCCAATAGTATCAGGCTGTAACCTCTAATGTACAAAATGAATGTTTTTATTGTAACCTTTCTCCCTTTACAAACTTTGGTGAGTTCAAGAATAATTAATGCCTTATTAAATTACTTATCTGAAAGAATTAAAAGAGCCATTTCATGTCTATAGGCCAACTTGTTTTGTTCAACTGGTCGAGATTGAAATGTGTTTAGAAAATAATTAGAAATCCAGTAGGCTACTTTTATAGAAAGAGTAATTACAGTAATCTATTTACACTGTTGGAAATTTAATTACTATCTAGCACTCCATTACTTTTACAGTGCTTTCCCAACACTGAACACTGTTAAGAACAACTTTTAAGATATTTTACTGTAATTTATTGCCTCAACCATATCCAAATAGAAAATACTACTTTTTCCAAGAATTTTGCGACATCATCAGCCTAATTAAGACATTTAACATTGAGAAATACAGTACTTATATGGATAGGAACCCATCTGAGGATGATACTCTGACTCACATGCGCCCACGATGACTGTCCGCTGGTCCGCCGAGAGGCTCGAGGTGGAGGCGACAGTTGGAGACACAGTGCTGCTGGACATCTCTGACTCTGACAACAAATACTCTTCTAAAAAGCTGTCTCATAGCAAGCCGTCACGAGAGTCCTCTTTCCTTCTTCCCAGCTTCATCTTCAGACACGAGAGGACTAAAGCTGAGTGAACTGAACTGGTCAGTCACGACTTACATCCCTAATGCTCGCGAAGCAGCGGATACATTGTTGCAATCTGTGAATGGACGGAGAATTCTGAATCCTACTATGCTGAAGCCGAGGCTCATGAATACTAATGAAGCACGTGACTGGACGGACGCTGCCGGGATGTCGCTAAGCAACGGTTGCAGGGACTAATTAATATTCATGAGCTGATCCTTCAACGTAGTAGGATTCGTTCATTACTGTAAGGACGATGTGAAATAGACACGAATAAAGTTGTGAATTTTGTTTATGTGCTAGCTTAGGAATACAGACATTAACGCTATCTTAAAAACAAAATAAAACAATAATTAAAGGAATAATTGATTATACTCAGTCTCTTCCGTATCGTTCAAATAGACAAGCTGAAACATTCCTTGAGCGTTTACTGGTTGTCTTGGAGATAAGCAGGACTTAGCGCTGAGCGCCACCTAACGTTAGCAATAACTTTTGCGTGTTTTTATATTGCTACAGAGAGCTAGCAGCAGTATTACATTCATTGATTCATTTTCTCATACGAATGTTTTCATTCTTCGGAAATTACCATTTAAAGATTTTATTATTATTATTACGACAGGATAAGTTCGTAAAAACATTAACAATATATTTGAAATCAGTTCGTAAACAATCCGCCGTGAAGTTGGGAATCGTACACTTTATTTATAGCTAATATTTTCACAGCCACCTCGGCATCTCTCTGAACATGGATTCACGTCAATCTGATTCAGTTGAAGGAGAATCATTTGGTTCGAAGACTCCGAACCGCGAAGCTTTCTCTTCGGTCATTAACAGTCTGATTCACTGAGTCAACTCCCTCCAATTTGCGACTCGCGGCTAACGTGACTCGCTTCTGTGTGCGAGTCGGTGCGAGTGCGATTCACGGGAAAGATGGTCGCGAGCACCCGTGTACAGAAGCTCCTTAGACGGTATAAACTCGCGATCGCGGCCGGTTTAACCATCCTGTTGATCCAGGGGCTGGTGGTATGGAGCCTGCGGAGTCTGGAGGAGGGAGAGACGGAGGTAAGGTGCTGTTTCATGCGGGTAAATCTGTCCTCCGTGTCTCAGTTGCGCCGTTTGATCTGAAGGTTTATGATAGCATGCTAAGCTAAGGCAAACCCGTCACTCCATTCTCATTAGATGAACTGTAATTCCAGTAATAGCGACACCGGGTGTAAACAAACGCGTTTATTGCATTACATGAAAAAGTCGTAGTGTGTGATACATATTTGAAGTTGTTATGGTCAAGTGTTGTGTAGGGCAGGTCTGTTAGATTGATTTGTTTTGACCGGCGTCGGGTTTTAAATGACTGGACTGACTTCACCCATAACAACTCTATGGTTTTGTAGAAACTTATGATATGTCTACGTAGGCAGCATTTTTGGTCATCTTAGTCTTAACTTAGAGGGCCTCATACATAGACGGCATTTTAGGCATTAATATCTTATATCCCTGCCTTTATGCTCAGGACTGTTGGTCTTCAGTGTATTAGACTCTAGTGAGCCTCCTACCTTTTAAACTGCAACCCTTGTAGGGCTAGTCTTAAGTGTCCTACCTAGACAGCACTTTTTTTTAACACCATAGGTCACTGACTTTGACTATGTTTCCCAAAAATGCTGACTAGACTTCCACAAATAAGAGTCCCAAAAGGGTTGTTTCGCAGTTTTTGGTTTCCCAAAACACCTTTCAATGAACTGTTCTTAAAAGAACCATTTTTTTTTTCTTATTGTGAAAATAGTTGGAAAAATCTAAATAACTTTTTTTTTTTTTTCCACAAAGAATCTTTTATGGAATGGAAAGATCCTACGGGTGTTAAAGCTTCTTCATGGAACGATGATCAGTGGCGATAAAGAACCTTTATTTTTTAATGTTGCCATTAACTGAAGTTTTGATTAGCCTTTTCTATTGGATTAGCGATTTTCTGTTTCTGATTGGACGGTTGTGGTTTACTATTGGCTGATCTCATGTGAGTGACAGGTTGCCCCGCCCTCACGCCAGTAAACGCATCATCAGAGAAGAGATGAGCTGCAAGAGGGAGGGAAGCTTATTCTAATTAAAAATTGAGGCACATGTCATGAATTATAAAAATATATATCTGCATGGAAAAATCCCTTAAGATAAATACTGCAATATTACTTAAAAAACAAGATTTATCAATTTTGAGAATACGTAGATGGAGGTTACTGTGTTTTGATGTTTTCTTGTGAGGTCTTATAGCAGTTTTGGGCATCATAGTCTTAAAAACCGATAGTGAACTACCTTTCTAGACTAAAAATGCTGCTCGTAAGGAATGTGCCTGTTTGGCCAAATCCGATTTGGTGCTTATTTGTGACTCGGGTAGGTTTTTGTCATGACCGTGTAAGCGGCACAATTCCCAATTTTCAATTCCCATCTGTGTCATAGTTGTTGTCTAGGTAGGGAGCTTGCTTGGTTTTGAGACACAGCCGACAATTAAATCTGGCTGTTAATAGATTGTGTCCTCAGGCTCTATTAAAGGGATAGTTCACTTTGAAATACATTTTTGATATGTTTTATCTTACCTCAAGGGCATCCAAGATGTAGGAGTCTTTGTTTCCGCAGTATTTTCAATTTTGATATTTTTAGGTCAAACCGTTCTTGTCTGTCAGTCATATAATGGAGGTCTATGGTCACCACCTCAAAGAGCATGCACAGAGAAGTCCAAATTAAACATGATTTAATGACTCGTAAATGTAAGTACACATTGATAGCCTAAGACATAAAACGAGCGTTTTTTGTGAGAAAACGAACAGTATATTCTTTTTACCTCTTGTACAATAGTCCTATGTCGATTTATGTGGTCCGACCACTGCTTTATTTCTGTTGTCTCAGACAGGGTTTGTAAACTGCTGTTAAATGATCATGTGTGATCGTTTTGCTGCTCTCGGATGACTGCATCTAATAATGTGGTGTAGTGTTTAAACATCCAAGCGGATCAAACCCCAGCAGGGGGGTTTCAGGAATGATAATAATCTTTGTGCTATTGGTCAAAACACAACCTCAGGTTAGTCCAAGATGACTTATCCTGTAATAAATTAACTGTAAGTAAACTTGAAAGAATCCTGCATTGCTAATTAGTAAATGTTTAACTGTCTGCTGTTCAAGAGTAGGCTAATATGTGAATACATGATTTGGGAAAGGAGGTTACGAGTTGTGACGAGTATCAGGAATGTGCTGGCTGTCATGTCCGGATTCCTGCTCCGTCAACCTGCAGTCGAATAGATTCCCTACAAGATCAATGAATGTATTGAGCAAAAACGTTCTTTAGTAATCGAAATTAAACTGGGGTACATTTACACAACAACTATGTGCTTAAAACGGAGAAGTTTTTCCTTTTAGTTTTCGACACCATTGTCAAAACAATCCCCAATCACACGGATCCACAAAAACGACTTAAAACCCTGTATTCTGCTGCCAGGCCACTAGATGGTGATGAAACACTATAAACTGAACACGTAATACGCACATGGATTTATCGTCTTCGAGATTCGCGTTTTTGTTGTTTACACGGAGACCGTTTTCAAAAACTTGCACTTTGAAACCCGTTTTCAAAAGTTTGCGTTTTCAGGCAACCAAAACGCCGCTGTGTAAACGAACTGCCAAAACACATAAAAAGTTTTGCGTGTAAACTGCCCCTCAGTATGTGTATTTTTCAGGAAAAGTGATCAGTCCCGGTATCAATCCCGCGTCGTGTTTGCGCTCACACTGAAGGTGTTCTGGCAATTTCCCGGGATCAACGTGCTGTGTGAAAGGGGCTAAATAAACATCGTTGGCATTTTTATGTTCATTTTTTTTTGTTACACTCTTAAAAATGAACTAATTCACCAACTGCCGCTGAAAGACTTATTGCTTTGTTAACAAATTGCAGTTTTGTGTGAACTTATTGACCATTAGCAGCACGCTGAAATCCCCCCTGAATGACTCTATATTCAGCACCACCGCTTAAAGGTAATGAAGAACCTTTACGCACTAGTCGACTAACTGATTGTTTGATGACGAGTCAACCGTCCTAATTGATCCCTATTGCCTACACAAGAAGTTCTTCTCATTCCAACCACAGCACATCCACAGGCTTCTGTGACCTCTGTCTTCAGTGTGATGAAAGAGGCCATTGAGTTTGCAGCCTTTGCTTTCTAAGACTGGAAGAATCAAATACTGCAGGTCATGTGGTGTTGCTGTGACCTGTGCTGGATAAAGGAATTTAACGATTAGAGCCCGACCGATAAAGGATTTTGAAGGCCGATACAAATATTTTTGGGTTTTAAAATCCGATATTCCGATATATCGGCCGATATTTTTTTTTATTAAATATTGTTGGATTTCACACACGTGTAAAAGAAAAGCTAACTTTTCTGCACAAGATACGTTTTATACTTTTTCTCTATGTCTAAATGTTCACTCCTCGCAAGTCTAACTTACATTTTACAATGCAGGGACTGCAACTAGCTAGTTATAAATACAGTAATCATTACTTTATTTAGGCAGAAAAAGTTCATTGTGGTTTTCAAGCTCATTAATGTTAACGTTAGCGGTCTTCCACTGATGAAAGTGGCGTTAGCTAGCTTTAGTGGTTAGATAGTCTATGATGAGCCATAATTTAGCAATAGATAACATCATACTGCAAATTGTAAAACATACATTTTCAATATAACAGGCCAAGGAGAGATGATTGAAGCGTGTTTTGTCCATTTTTATTTTATTTTTTAAATATTCATTTATCGGCCATTATAACTGCCGATACCGATATTTTGGAAAATGCCTAATATCGGCCGGCCGATATATCGGTCTGGCTACATTAACGATTCTGGGACTGATTCATTTACGACCCTTAGACTGTTGCCAAATGATGATTATTTCAGGCCCCGTCCACACTACTGCATTTTCGTTTAAAAATGGAGACCTTTTGCTACGTTTGCATCTCCCGTCCAGACTAAAATCGAAAAAACAAAAGCCTAAAACGGAGAAGTTTAGAAACACTGCTGCTCCGTTTTGAATCTCCGGAGGGCGTTTTAGGAGGACTTTAGAAACGAAGACGCAGAGGCTGACGCTCGGCTCTATGATTGGGTGTCGTCAGTCATGACGTGTCCTTCCCTGATTCGTCAGCCACCCATCACATGACCCGTTTCCTGTTTACACCGGCACGCGCATGCCCAGTGTTGGTGAATGGTCACGTGATCACGTCGTGTTAATGTGGACGGAGATCAATACTAATATGCAGAAAAAACGCTGGTGTGGACGGATATCGTATTCGTTTTAATTCTCCGTTTTTAAACGAA